AGTGGTGTTCCATGAAAAAAGCAGTTATTTCAATTCACAACTCAATTGCATAAGTATTTGTGCTCAAGCCACAGGCTTTGCTATGAGGCAGAAGTGCTTTACGCATATTTCCCATTTCTGTTTTGTTCACTGTTGTATGTCCATGCTTTGCATATAATAGGTGCTCAATAAATATTTATTAAATGAATAAATAAATAAGTCACTGGGTAAATAATATGATAACGTCTGTAATTACTTTCAGCTGCTTGGAAGTAAAGCAACAAAAATTCAGGATATTTGCAGTTTTTACAAAATGTTAAATATTTAATCAAGAAATAAAAGAAATCATTTCTTTTGGCAAGGCATTTAACTGGGGGAATGGCAAAAGCAGCGGGGAACTTTCAAAACCACAACAATAGTGTTTGCATTGTAAAACAGCTTTTAGCAAAGGAAATAAATTCCTGAGAACTGGAACACTACCAATGATCTAGAAATGGGGTGCAAAATGAGGAAAGGAGGAAAAGACACTGAAAGTTTCCACTTGCACATCACTGTCCCATGTTTCTTTTTTCAACCCACAGTATTTGGCAATGTTTCACTTGGGAGGAATTATTCACAAAGATGAACAGGGTATCAGAGCATGTGGAGGGACACACAGGCATTCATAAGGACTAAGTAAAATGCTTCAAGTTTGAGGACTAAAAGATAATGTATTATCTCAGAAAGCGAGCTGAGGACCTCTGTGTATGGCTCTCATAAGGCGAGTCCTAGATTAGTATGATAAACTGCTGCATAATATGTGAGCTAGCTAAGAAAATATCTGGCTAATGTGTTACCATCTAATTATTGTTCAGTGAATAAGAACTCAGTAAATAAACCATTCTCCCATTAGAATTAAATCATTAGTTAAATGACTCCAGGGGCACTTCTGAATTTCAGTAAACTCTGGGGAGTCACCAGGAGAAAGGATTCATTAGTTAAGGAAGGTCTGGTAATCGAGTTCAATGACTACGTAAATTACTTGCTCTTTAGTTTGTAGTCCCATTTCTGCCAATAGGTAAATTCCTTAACCTTTCTGTAGCTCAGTTTCTCCCTTCTTTCCTGAAGTTCAGCAGTGCTTAGAGTATGAGTGTTTGTGAAATATTTTTGGTCCTTTGAAGACACTGAGTTAAGTATATGGAGTTAAATGGGATTGGCCAGAAGATAAAATATCCCAGTACATTTTTAATTGCCAAGTCTGAAATAATAATCTATACATTTCTTCTACTCTATAGAAAACCTCCAAAGTGCTTCCCCAACCCATGCATCTGCTTGGCCAGAATCCTGGGAGTAAGACAGCAACTCACACGAGCCATCCTAGTAATTTTTTAAGTTTATCGAACACTTTAGCACCTCTATCATTTGATCTTAATACTAGCCTTGTTTAACTGTTGAGCCACTGTGTTGTATACTTGAAACCAATATAAGATTATATATAAGATTTTAAAAAACTAGCCCTGTTAAGATGGGCAGGACAGGAAGAACCATTTTTATTCATCAGACAAAAAAACTAAGGTTTAAAGAAACTGAGTGCTTCAACTATGAGGCAGAGCTGGGGCTCAGTGGGTCTCTTGAGTTCACTTTCCACTACTGTTCCTTGCTTTGCTGAATGGAAAAGAGAGAGATGGTCCCCCTTGGTTATTCTGAAGTGCCAACTATGGACAGAAAGTTATCCAGCTTCCTTGGACCCCGAACAAACAATCCTGCACTACTCACCTGCAGCTTCACAGCGATGACCACTGAGTTAAGATCTTTGTCCATTTCTTTCAGCATGACGAGTTTCTTCAGGGTCAAGCTGAACAGCCTAGAGAATTCAGAGAAAGACAATCCAGTCAGATGTAAGGAATTGATGAGAAAGGCAATAGACAATCTGTTGGGGAAATGCTGCTTTACCTAAAGCAAGAATGTCAGAGTGCCACACTGTGTCCTTCAGCAAGAGTACCCACCTATTTAACTTTTGCACTTGAGAAAAAAAAGCTTTACTATTCCACAAATCTCTGTGGATGCCCATTTAGCTCAAGGCAAAACCAACACGCCTTTTTTACTCCTAATATGCAGGAGCAACTTCTGAGTGGGGAGAGTGCACCAAGGGAGAGGAGCAGATGTTTCCTTTGCCTATGCAGTTCCTCTTCCCCCCTTACATCTAACCACACCAGAAAACATTTACACATGTAAATCTGTGGCATCGGGGATAATCCACACAAGCAAGTAGACAGCATTTGGCAGGAAATGATTTAAATCACCACAAATTGGATTTCAGCTGAACTTTGCTTCAGATGTGCAGAAAATCTTCAGTGCCAAAACAAGAAAGTTCCCCTTAATTGGAAGTGACAGGACTGTCCCTCACTCTGGAGTCTCAGCAACTCTAATTTGACTTGCCCTCTCCCCTACCAAGACATGGCTACACTGGCCCTTATCAAGAGCTGGGAAACTTTGGATGCTGCCTTTCTGCTTCTGGTCTGAGTGGTTCGTTCTTTCCTTGGAGAGGTTCTGGAGAATGGGGAGTCCAACAGAGGAGGCTGCAGACCAGAGCCTAATGAGTCCCCTCGGTGGGGTGGCTCTCTGCTCCCGCAACCCAACTCAGTCCTGTGTCTCAGTACCCCTCCTCACACTCTAGGCTCCACTCATACTGAATTTCTTTCAGTCCTTGGGTGCGATACACTCTCTCACCCCTGGGCCTTCTACTAAAGGGCGGGGCACAGTGTGGTTGCTCAGCAAATTATTTGTTAAGTGAAGTTTAACAATTTCCTCAGCCATTGACTGGAGTTCCCTCACTTGTGCTCCCAAAACAGTTTTGTTAAACTGTGATCACCTGGGCTCATGCTTGCCTCCAAACTCTCCCCCATCAATGACTACCCACAGCATCGTCTATTTCTTCATTCCTTAAAGTAGAGATGTGCTGGCCCAAAAGGAGCTCTGGGTCTGCCAACACCAAAGGGATTATCACATGTCACATAGTTGGCTATCAAGAAATGTAAATAACTTCATTGTGCAGCTGATTTTCAAGTCTTGCTGTAGGAAAGGGAACATGATGGGATGAGCAAATAGAAGAGACTGGATAGGCCCACTTCTGTTCCTCATCTAAGGCTGCTGATTATGAATGCTTCTGATGGGCCAGGTTTTTGTTTCCAAAGCAAACACTTTCCACCTTCAGACTATCTGCTGGTGCTGAATAAACTCCTGCAAGATAAAAGAGTCACAGGAGTAAACTGGGGACTCATGTGTTTCCTCCTCCCTGCTTGTGATCCTTCACTCTTTCACACATTCCACACATTTAGTGAGCATCCCATATACCAGCACTGATAGTTACTGGAGTTGTAGAAGGATGTGGTCCTTAGCCTCACAGGGATGACACAGTCCAGTGGGGAAGACAAACAGTGACTTACATTGCATTACTAGTCCACAGCTCTTTTATACCCATAAGGCTGTGGACCATCTTTCCTCTTACATAAGATATGAAATATTGTAGGATAATATGGCAAAATTTTTTAGGAAGGAAAAACACATCACAGATCAATAAATGCTGATAAAAAAAATAGATTAACCTTTATGCCACAGCACCTTGTGTCAACAAGAAAGTCCAGAATGATTTAGTGCCTTAGGTAACAAGGCAGTAGCAAGACTGGGTCTATTCAGTGTTTGCTTAGAAACAAGGCACTGAATTGATTTCCATTCCATTAGCAACTGATTCAAAGGTCTTTTTGTTTGTTTTTAATGGTATGAAGGGAATGTGGGGATTTAAATGTGTTCTAGTTCTTCAAAGTGTAAGAAAATGTCTATGACTCATTAATCATCTACTATATATGGCTGTTTGATATACACTTCATTATCTATCTCATGTAAGTCTCACAGTAATTCTAAGAGGTGGGTATTATACACATTTACAGATAAGCATGTTGGGAAGGATTAAGAAACTTGCCCAAGGTCCCAAAGAAAGTAGTTGAGCCAAGATGCAAACTCAGGCCTATCTTAATCTAGAACCCAGTTTAAATTAGTAAAAGCACTTTATTAAAAAACTAAAATAAATATTTTATTTATAAGAAGATATTTTCAACATATATCTTAATGTAATGGAAAAATTCCAAGGAAATAAGATACATTTCTCCTTAAACCCACATTCACACAGGAATGAATGAAATAGTCCCAGACCGAGTTCTGAGGGTGACGAAGACTGGGTCTGGCAAGATGTTCTGAATAAAAGTGTCCAATGTATAAGAGGCTGAGTTAGATACTGTTCCTAGCTTTTTGTTGCCCGATGTTTTACTGGCTGGGCGCTTCTTATGCAATAAAAATACAAGATCCAAGGCCTGAAAGTTCTTCTCTGATCATACTCCTGCTTTCATCAGGTTTTCTACAGCAGAAAATAACTTCACATTAAATTTATGAAGACTCATAATTCCAAGTGCTGGTGAAGATGTGGAGTAATCAGAAGTCCCATACATGGCTGGTGAGCCCAGCTCCGAAGAGAACCCAAGAAAAATGAGGGCACACACCACAAAAAGAGAGGTACAACAGTGCTCAAAACGGCTCGACTCATAATAGCCCTAAACTGGAAACAACCTCATGTCTACCAAGAGAAGAATGAGGAAACAAAATGTGGGGCTCAAAACCAAACACTAACTCAGAGGGACGACATGGCTCAATTTCAAAAATACTACATTGAACCAAAGGAGGCAGACACAAAAGACTACACACAGTGTGACTCTATCCGTATGAACTTCAAGAATAGGCAGGAGCAGCGCATGGTAATAAGAGCCAGCACAGTACTGAGGAGGGTAGAGGCACCGACTGGGAAGGGCCATGGGCACCTGATAAGCCCTGGTGGGCCATGTGGGTGTACACACAAGGAAAACGTCACAGAGCTTTATAGCCAAGACCCATGCGCCCCACCATAAGCAAACTACACATCAATTTTTTTTAAAGATCAGAATGAAGGTTTTAGAATCCTACATAACCAGGTTTGAATTACAGTTCTGTCATTTACCTGTTGGCCTATAAGGCCAAGAACTGTTCTAGTCACTTGTGATACATGAGTAAACAAAACAAAAATTCTTGTGATGGAGTTTACATTCTAGTGAAATGATCCAGTCAATAACAGTAGACCTAATGATTAAATAAATTACACACTATGTTAGATTTTGTTAAAATAGAGCTAGGTAAGGGGATTGTGAGTGTGAGGCAGAGGAGGGCAGGGAGGGCTGTAGTTTTAAGTAAGACAGGGTAGGCCTCATTGAGAAATTCTAGATTAGGGAAAGAAGTGCAAAGGTCTTAAGGTGTAGTGTACCTGGTTTGTTTGAGAAATATTAAGAAGGCCAGTGGAGCTGAAACAGAGTGGACAAGGAAAAAGTTGAGAGAAGTGCAGTACTGCAAACAGTAGACCATGGAGGTTTGAAGGGTAGCAGGAGTGGAGGTGGTGAAAAAGGGTTTGAATTCTGATGTATTCTTGACAATAAAGGTCAACTCCAGGTTTTTAGCCTGAACATCTGGCAAGATGGGGCTATTATTAACTGAGATGGGGAAAGCTATGGGTAAGCAGATTTGGAAGTTTTAGATCCAGAGTTCAATTTGGTCACTTTAAATTTGAAATGTCTATAGACTTCAAGCAGGGATGTTGAGCAGAGACTGAGCCCTACAAGTCTGTCTCTGGATTACAAATCTAAATGCAAAACATAGAATTTTAACAGTTCTAAGAAAAAAGACAAGAGAAAATATTTGGGACATTTGGTTAGACAAATATTTCTTAGATATCACACCAAAGAATGATCCCTAAAAGAAAAATCTGTTAAAATTGGACTTCATCAAAATGAGTAACAGCTGCTTTTTAAAAGAGTCTATTAAGAGAATGAAAAAACAAGCCACAGACAGGAGAAAATACCTATCTGAAACCAATATAATATTGTATGCCAACTGTATTTTAACTAAAAAAAATAGAGTCAGGGAAGAAAAAAAAAATCACCTATCCATTAAAAGCTTTACATCCAGAATATGTAAAGAAACCTCAAAATTCTCTATTAGGAAAACAAATATTCCAGTGAAAAAAACAAGGCAAATGTTTTGACCAAACACTTCACCAAAGAAGGTATACAGATGGCAAACACATGAAAAGACGTTCAATATTACTACTCATTAGGAAAATGCAAATGAAAATCACAATGAGATACCACTACACACCTATTTGAAAATCTAAATTTGGAAGACTGATCATACTCAGTGTTGGTGAGGATGTAGAGCAGCTGAAACTCTGTGGATAGGAATGCAAAATGTACAGCCACTCTGGAAAACAGGTTAGCAGTTTCTTAAAAAGTTAAACATGCATAATCAAATCATTCTACTCAAGAAAAAAAGGAAAACTATGTTCCCATACAAAAAATGGTACATGAATGTTCATGGCAGCTTTATCTGAAATAGCCAAAAACTAGAAACAACCCAAATGTCCATCAACAGATGAGTGGATAAACAACCTGTGGACTATCCATTCAATGGAATACTATGAACAATAAAAAGGAATGAACTGTTGATGCACACCGAAACACGGATGAGTCTCACAACAATTCCAAGTGAAAGAAACTGGACAAAAAAGGGTACAAACTAATCTAGAAAATGCAAACTATCTATGGGTACAGAAAGCCGGTCTGCAGTTACCTAAGGATGGGATGGAGGCAGTGAGCAGAAAGGAATTAACACAGCAGTCCTGAGAACACTATTCTTCGAAAGGCCTGCTTGCCAGATTGGCCTCTGACTGGCATCCGGGTACTTGGATCTGGGGAGTGTCTGGGTACTTGGATCTGGGGAGGGTTCCCACCA